TACTACTACTACTACTACTACTACTATTGCGACTACGACTAGTACTACTACTACTACTACTACTACTATTATTATTACTACTACTACTACTACTACTACCAGTACTACTACTTCTACTACTACTACTACTACCACTACTACGACTATTACTATTACTACTACTACTAATAATAATAATAGCAATAATCATAATAATAATACTAACACTACTTCTACTACTACTATTACTACTACTACTATTACTACTACTACTACTACTACTACTACTACTACTACTACGACTACTACTACTACTAATAATAATAATAATACCACTACCACTACCACTACCACTACCACTACCACTACCACTACCACTACCACTACCACTACCACTACCACTACCACTACCACTACCACTGCGAGTGCTACTACGACTACTTCTACGATTCTGCCTATTTTATTTTCCAAGGTACTCGTAGAGCAGCACGCAACAACTACTACGACGTTTCTCGCAATAGGTGCCTCTATCAGAAGTGGCCCCGCCGCGAGCGCTCGTGGTGGTCGACTGTTTGCCGTGGGGAGGACAACACATTGTAATTGCCTCTGGCCAGGGCTGCCGATCCGGGACGCTCCCGATGGTGTCTGGTTCGCTTGGAGGCCTACAGCGCCGTCTCGGGGCCTTTTTGGGGCCGTCGTCGGAGGAGGCCTTTTGAGGGGTCTTTGAGCCTCCTTAGGGTTTCTTGGAAGCCTTTTTGGCTGTCTTAGGGCGCTCCTGGCCCGTCGGACGCCGTCAGAAGCCGTCTCGGTTGCCTCGCTGTGCCCGCTGGGAGTGCTCTGGGGGTGCTCCAGGGCCGTCTTGGAGGCTATCTTGGCAGTTTTGGGGGCCGATGGGGCCATCTTGGGACCTTTTTCGTGCCGTCTCAGGAGCCCCGTTCGCCGTCCCAGGGCCATTTTGGAGGCCTCTGGGGCGATCGACGGGGCCGCTGGGGCCGCCGGAAGGCCGACAACAATGCAGCGCCGAAATCTTTGAACAGCATGTAGAAAATGATCCCGGCAAAGCAACCTAACAGCGATGTGTAGAAGCATATATGGAAGCATTCCCCTTAAGATTCAGATGAGAATCCAGTTGTAGAGTTCTGCTGTTCTCGCAGTCGCTGTCGCATTCGCAATGACAGTCAGCAGTGGCAGTGCCTGCCTCAGCCTCAGCCTCAGCCTCAGCCTCAGCCTCAGCCTCAGCCTCAGCCTCAGTCTGCCTTCAGCCTCAGCCTGCCTCAGCCTGCCTCAGCCTCAGCCTGCCTCTCAGCCTCAGCCTCAGCCTCAGCCTGCCTCAGCCTCAGCCTCAGCCTCAGCCTCAGCCTGCCTTCAGCCTCGGCCTCAGCCTCAGCCTGCCTCAGCCTCAGCCTGCATCAGCCTCAGCCTCAGCCTCAGCCTCACCCTGCCTCAGCATCAGCCTCAGCCTCAGCCTCAGCCTCAGCCTCAGCCTCAGCCTCAGCCTGCCTCAGCCTCAGCCTCAGCCTGCCTCAGCATCAGCCTGCCTCAGTCTCAGCCTCAGCCTGCCTCAGCCTCAGCCTGCTTCAGCCTCAGCCTCAGTCTGCCTTCAGCCTCAGCCTCTGTGCCTCAGCCTGCCTCAGCATCAGCCTGCATTAGCCCCAGCCCCAGCCTCAGCCTCAGCCTCAGCCTGCCTCAGCATCAGCCTGCCTCAGCGTCTGCCTCAGCCTGCCTCAGCCTCTGCCTCAGCCTCAGCCTCAGGCTCAGCCTCAGCCTTAGCCTGCCTCAGCCTCAGTCTGCCTTCAGCCTCAGCCTCAGCCTCAGCCTGCCTCAGCATCAGCCTGCCTCAGCCTCAGCCTCAGCCTCAGCCTGCCTCAGCCTCAGCCTGCCTCAGCGTCTGCCTCAGCCTGCCCTCAGCCTCGGCCTCTGCCTCAGCCTGCCTCAGCCTCAGCCTGCATCAGCCTCAGCCTCAGCCTCAGCCTGCCTCAGCATCAGCCTGCCTCAGCGTCTGCCTCAGCCTGCATCAGCCTCAGCCTCAGCCTCAGCCTGCCTCAGCCTCAGCCTGCCTCAGCGTCTGCCTCAGCCTGCATCAGCCTCAGCCTCAGCCGCAGCCTCAACCCGGCCTGCCTCAGCCTCAGCCTGCCTCAGCCTCAGCCTCAGCCAGCCTCAGCCTCAGCCTGCCTCAGCATCAGCCTGCCTCAGCCTCAGCCTCAGCCTCAGCCTCAGCCTCAGCCTGCCTGCCTCAGCCTCAGCCTCAGCATCAGCATCACCATTCTCAGCCTGTGCCTCAGCATCAAAATGTGGCCCGGGAATGTTCTGGGAACTCGAAGAGCACGAAGTGGCCTACAGTTGGCTCCGGGCATTCAAAATGTGGCCCGGGAATGGAGCTCTGGGAAGTCGAAGAGCACGAAGTGGCCTACAGTTGGCTCCGGGCATTCAAAATGTGGCCCGGGAATGGAGTTCTGGGAACTCGAAGAGCACGAAGTGGCCTACAGTTGGCTCCGGGCATTCAAAATGTGGCCCGGGAATGGAGTTCTGGGAACTCGAAGAGCACGAAGTGGCCTACAGTTGGCTCCGGGCATTCAAAATGTGGCCCGGGAATGGAGTTCTGGGAAGTCGAAGAGCACGAAGTGGCCTACAGTTGGCTCCGGGCATTCAAAATGTGGCCCGGGAATGGAGCTCTGGGAAGTCGAAGAGCACGAAGTGGCCTACAGTTGGCTCCGGGCATTCAGAATGTGGCCCGGGAATGGAGTTCTGGGAGGTCGAAGAGCACGAAGTGTGTGACTGTTTGCGAAAACGAATTCGGACACGAGTTCGGACACAGCTCCCCGGATGCCGCCCAGACCCCCCTGTGGAGTCATCTGCTGCTCTCTTTTGACCCCACTAGAAACCTATCAGCAAAAGCTGTTAGGTAATCAATGCTTTGATGTCTTCGGGCCTTTCTTGGAGGGCATCCTGGGCCATTTTGGGTGCATCTTGAGCCGTCTGGTAAATATCTGGCGGCCATCTCGGGCTTTTTGGCCCCTGGTGTAGGAATTTGGCGGACTTTTGCGTGTCAGCCCCGCCCAGACAACGGAGGGTACAGGCGGAGCAGTAGGGGGCCACATGTGAACCCGACCCCTACCCCCCACGATTTCTGAGGGGGAGGGTGGGGTTCACTTCGTTCGGGAGCTCCCGAGCGAAGTGAACCCCACCCTCCACCTCAGAAGTCGTGGGGGGTAGGGTCGGGTTCGCATGTGGCCCCCTACAGAGAGCACAGGCGGAGCAGGCCACCCCCCCACCCCACCCTTCGCTGGCACAGCCCCCCCGCCCTCCCCCAGCAGAGCTGAAGCTCGGGCTGCAGGCTGCAGCCGAGGCTCTTTGAAGCTCCCACGCCGGATCGGCGGGCTTTCTGTATTTTGACGCCTGTTTTTTCGCAGGAGCGGGAACAAACACAGACACATTTAATCGCCGATTCCCCAGAAAATATATCAAAAATGGGAAGGCAAAAACCCAGAAGATATGGGAACATATGGGGCGTCCTGTCATTTGTGCCTATTTCTTTGCGTGTCCCAGGGCCCCTTTCATTGTTTGGTTCATCCCAGCACCACCAGGTGGAGCGGGAGGCAAGCCCGCCGGAGGCTTCAGGAGAGACCTCGGGTGCCTGGGTCCCCGGGCCGCAGGCTGGGAGGGGTTGAGACTGCGAGGGAGGGAGAGAGAGAGTGAGAGAATCCATGCGGTTCAGTCGGGCCTGTCCCTCTACAGGATGAATATTCAAAACTAGTAAGCAACATCACCTGGGGACGATTTGTTTAATACAATTTTTGTCATTTTAATATATATATATATATGTATGTATATATATATATGTATGTCTGTATGTATGAATATATATATATATATATATATATGTTCGTCCATAATTCGTCCAAAAATCGCATGTAGGGGGACATGCCCGACCTAAACATAAGGCGAAAATTCCGAGATGGAACGGAGCGCGACGCGGGCAGATGGACAGAATATCGCACAGGTGGGTTTCGCAGGGGGGGGATTCGATCCTCAAACCGTGCTCGGATGTGCCGTCGTTGTCCGTGCAACGCCGTGTGTTTTTACTGCTCAGTGGCGTTCTGCTCATCACGCCGCCATGCCTGGGTTCGGGGTCAGGGTCCGCTTGGATGCTTCTCGGGGTCTCTTGGGATGCCTCTCGGGGTCCTGTTGGGAGCCTCTTTGTGATTCTTTGGGGCATCATCGGGTATTGTTTGTTGGGTGCCTCTTGGGGGCCTCTTGCGGCCTGGTGGGCGCTTGTCTGAACACCTGTTGGCGCGCTCAGGTGCCATCCTGGTGCAGGAGGGCTCGTGGATCCAGTGCAAGTTCCCCCTTGTGGGGGAGAGTCATGCGGGGCGTCTCCAGGGTCACGCGGGTCGCCCAAAGAAGTCCACCATTTGAGGGTCCATTTGAAACGCATCAGGCAAATTGATATTGAGAACTCACAGGGGCCTGGATCCACTTCACTCCATGTCTGCGGCGCGGTGGTGGACACGATCTGCTAGGGTATGGTATGCGATGTCATGCTAGGCAATGGTACTCCAAAGGGTCCAATATGACCTCATGGTATGCCATGCCATGCGACTCCATGCTATGTTATGCGGTTCAAAACCACGCAATATTGCTGTGCCATGATGCGATATCGTATTCGATTCTGTATGCGATATGGTATGCTTTTCATTTTGAGCTCGTGTTTCGATTGCGCTGCACTTCACTACTTCACTGCGTTGCTTCGCACATGGCTGTCTTCAGCATACGGAGCCCCCCTCATTGCGATCTAGCTTGGCCCATTCTATCACAAAAGCGTATAATCACAAACCTGAGGCCCGATGCGGAATCAACATTTGTTGGCATAACCGTATCCATTTTGGATCTAGCTTGCATCAGTTTGCTCGTGCACTTGTGTTTCGCGCAACTCGATCCGCTAAGCGGTTCATATGTTCAGCATCGAGCATGCATCATGCTTCTGGGTGGCCAACACAGCTGCCATGCAAGAAGCCGCAAAGGTGTTGCGGAGTGCCGAAACGATCGCTGTCGATGTGGAGGGCAGTAATTTGGGGCATGGGGGCCGGGCCGCTACCATCCAGCTTGCGACCCCAGATTTGTGCTACGTCGTCGACTTGGCAGCTCTGGGCATGCCAGACAGTCTGCGCGAGGTGCTCCAGGGTAAAGACCCGGTGAAAGTGTGCCACGGCTTCACCAACGACCAGATCAATTTGATCGAGCAATTCCACATCGACTTCAGCGAGGCCACTCTTTTCGACACTGCGGAGGCTCTGGAATACTTGCCCCATATCGGTGGAAAGAGTGTTGTTGATGTCCTTGAACGCTTCACAGCTGCTCCTCCGCATGTACTTTCGGAGATGGTGGGCATGAAGGAGCAGCTTAGATGGGTTGACTTTTTCCAGCGTCCGCTTCCAGAACGCGTTCTCCGCTATTCTTGCCTCGATGTGGTATTTCTTGTTTCCGCTCGTAGCACGATGATCGAGCAGTTGAACGAAACAGACGTCGCTTGCATTGCAATTGTGGAGAAGTCCAGGTACCGTGGTCCTTATGGCAAGGGGGATTGCTACCGCCCTCCCACAATGAATCAGATTGCGCGGCAGGAGAAGAAGAGAAAGACGTGGAGTGATGAAACACGCGAATGGGTTAGGATGTAGTGAGGCAGCCGGTGTCCACCAACATGAACCCTGGCGATGTACAGCCGAACATTTGTTCATCCATCCGTGTACAGTGAGCGGCTTGAATATGGAACACCTACTTTACAAAAGGGGCTCGGTCGTTCCTCAGGCTTGCATGCGTTATTTACGGTTCCTTAATGCGTTATTTGATATGTATCGTTCCTTATGCGTTATTCCTTGGGATACAAAAGGTTATGCGTTATTCCTTATGCGTTATTCCTTATTTATCGTTCCTTAGGTCAGGCCGATGACTGTACCTGTAAGGTGGACGGCTGGGTGCCAAGTGCATGGTGCTAGCTGCTAGCCAACAAAATCTTCTCGTGCGTGGTGCTCGTGGGCGGAACGCGCGCCTTAGGCGTTCCCTTGCAGGTGAACCTTAACGCGTAGTTTTGCCAGGGCGCGCGCAAAAGCTGTACGAGCAGAAGGAAGGAGGGGAAGGGGAGGGGAAGGTTCGATCCTCGTTTTGGGGACCTTCCTGGGGGCCACCTAATGGATCTGTTCGACTCAGGTTCGACTCAAGTTCGACTCAGGTTCGACTCAGGTTCGACTCAGATTCGACTCAGGTTCGACTCATGCTCGGCTCAGGTTCGACTCAGGTTCGACGCAGCTTCGACGCACGAGTGGAGCGAGTGGCTCCAGGAAGGTCCCCAGAATGAGCGTCTAAGGAAGGCGAGGGTACGATGAGGGGGTGTGACGGACATGTAACATAGCATGAGGAATTCGTGGAAGAGGAGGCTTTGTGTGTGATCGTGATTGCGACGGTGGTGACGATGCCGGCGACGGTATCGTCGACGATCCTTGTCGTCATCCTTGAATGTCTATGGTGGTGGTGGTGGGGATGGTTCTAGGTGGTGGTGGTCAGGAATTTGCTGTTGATCAGGAGCATTAGGACGAAGAGGAACATGAGGAAGAGGAGGAGGAGGAGGAGGAGGAGGAGGAGGTGGAGGAGAAGGAGGAGGAGGAGGAGGAGATGGGAAGGAGGGAGGAAACAGAGTTGTTGCAGGGCTTCCATGCTACGGCAGGTTCTCGCAGCGTTGACGCAGCGGCGACCCTGTCACAGGCGTTCAATGTTGAAAGCCGCCAGTGGCCTGCAATCCGCCGACATCGAAGGACCTGCGCTACCAGAAAGCCGCGGACGTTCGAGGTTGAACGATTCACGTGGTGTCGAAGACCAGCGCACGAGTCGCCACGATTCGATCCTGACGTGCATCAGTGTAAGGGATGCCCCTCGTGAGCCTCACCAGGGTGACTCCTCTGCACCAGATTTCTCCGCTGAGCGGCCACCGACTTGCACCTGATGAGTGTGGCGTTCGTCTCCGACGCTGCCGAAGAATCCAGAGCGGAAGGTGTGGGGTGATGTTGCGGAGGGGGACGCGCATGCCGCCGAGGAGGAAGAGGAGGAGGAGAGGGAGAGGGGGAGGTGGGGAGGAGGAGCAGGAGGAGCAGGAGGAGCATGAGAAGGATGAGGTTACAGAAGAAGCAGAATAAGGAAAAGACGCAGACGAAGACAAGTCATCATAATAATACTCATAAGACTCAGAAGCATAAGCACGGCAGGTGAAGGCTAATGCCAAGAAGAAACAACATAACAATTCTAATGGTTCTCATACACGATAATACTAATAAGGCGAACACTGATACTAGTAAGGGGAAGCCGAATAAGCGACTTGACAATCATCCTGTGAATACGACTACGATCAATAAGATGAAGGCGTCGCGTAAAAATGATAATAAGACGATTACTGGTAGTAATACTAAGTCGATTCAGAATAATACTAAGACGCTGACGAAGCAGGCGAACAATACTGCGAATAAAACGGAACATACGAATAATAATAATACGAATGTTACCAATTATGATAATAATAATGAGGAGAAGAAGACGCAAACGAATGATCATGATAAGACGAATGATACAACGACACAGAAGGAGAGGAGGAGAGGAGGAGGAGGAGGTGGATGTGGAGGTGGAGATGGAGGTGGAGATGGAGGAGGCGGAGGAGGGATGAGTTTGTGGAGGAGGTTGAGGAGGGGGAGAAGGAGGAGGAGGAGAAGAAGGCGGAGGAGGAGGAGGAGTTTGAGGAGGAGGAGGAGGAGAGGAGGAGAGGGGAAAGGAGGAGGGTGCGGAGGAGGAGGAGGATGAGGAGGAGGGATAAGGAGGAGGAGGAGGAGGAGGAGGAGGAGGAGGAAAAGGATGATGAGGAGGAGGGGGGAGGAGGTGGATGGAGGAAACGGAAGGAGGAGGAGGACGAGGATGAGGAGGATGAGGATGTGGAGGAGGAGGAAAGGGCGGAGGAGCAGGAGGAGGAGGAGGAGGAGGAAGGCTGTCACTGTCTTCATCTGCGAGGCCCCGAGCATGAGGTGCTCAGCAGGAGGGCGGAGGAGGAACTCCCCCCTTTGCGACCCTGCCGCCCCCCCCCCGGGGGGCGGGCGCCCACCCCCCCTGGCGGCCCCGAGGTACTTCCCGACGAGGCACCTGCAGCACCGCGTGCTGACCTCCCTCGGCTGGGACGTGCGGCGCGTGCGCTGGGACGACTGGGCCGAGCTCGGGCCCTCGGGCGACGGCAAGAAGGCCCCGTCGCCCGGCGCGCCGCGGGGCTCGCGGCGGGCCCCCTCCTGCTTCCCGGGCGCGGTCGTGCGACTCGTCCTCGTGCATGTTCCTTTTTTTTTTTGTCCTGCGCCCGTGTGGCGTCTGGGTCGCCCCGGCCCGCTCGCCCGCCGCGCGGGCAGCTCGACGCGCTCGGTGCCGACGGGGCCCGGCGACGCTCCGCGCCCCAACGGCACAGCATTCCAGCAGGGGCTCGCATCGGGCGCTGCGCCAGGGGGGGCGAGGCATGGGGGAGTGCAGAAAAGGGGACGCCTCTTTAGGGCCATTATCGACTAGACGTAAGAGTGACCTTTCGCCGGAGTGACCTTTGGTGCGGGCACAGATTGACCCCCAGATTGCTGAAAACGAAGCGGTAGCATGGGCTTGCGCGCCCAGGTTTGGCTTCCCCGCGGCCCCCAAAAAGCCGCGCACCAAAGGTCACTCTTACCCAGGGTCACTCTTGCGTGTAGCCGACATAAGAAGAGCCTTCCAGTGCTCCAAAGGGGTTCGAACGGTGAACGTTTCCTCGCCCCCGCATTGATCGCCCCCCCGGAGCAGAGCTCCATCGGAGCCTGCTGCGGCCTGGGGGGCCCCCGTGGACAGCGGCGCGAGCGCCGCCCACACCGGCGTCGGCGGCTGACGAAGGGGCCGGGGGTTCTCGGGGCCGTCGGGGACCTCGAAGGTCTCGAGGCTCTTATGCATTCTCCCGTCGGGGGCAGGAGCACGACGACCATAAGTATCGGTCGGTCGTTGAAAGTAGGTATATTTTGGTTCCCATGTTCCAGTCTACCTTAAGCACCTTCCTACTTCAATTATCGAGTGGCTTCACCTTTTCCGTCCTCCTTAGGGGGTGGACGCATTTCAGTATTTGTCAACGCCTCCCTGAACCATGTTTCTACCTAGTCCGTCCGACCGAGGGGTAATTATCGGGGACAGGTTCACGAGCATGATCCGTTCAACACAATGCACACTATGTCTCGGGCGACGACCCACATTACCCTGGCATATGTATGTATGTATGTATGTATGTATGTATGTATGTATGTATGTATGTATGTTTGTATGTATGTATGTATGTATATATATATATATATATATATATATGCATGTATGCATGTATGCATGTATGCATGCATGTGTGCGCATGGATGTATGCATGCATGCATGCATGCATGCATGCATTGATGTATGTATGTATGTATGTATGTATGTATGTATGTATGTATGTATGTATGTATGTATGTACATATGCATGCATGTGTATGTATGTGTATGTATGTATGTATGTATATGTGTATGTATGTACGCATGGATGTATGGATGTATGTATGTATACACACATGCATGCAGGCATGCATGTATTCATGCATGTCCGCATGTATGCGTAGCTGTATGTTTAGTTGTATGTATGTATGTCTGTATGTGTGTCTGTATGTATGCACGCATGTATGCATGCATGCGAATCTGGTTATCTAACTATACAAGAGTGTATACAGCTGTATCTCTAGATATGAGTGTGTATGTGTGCTTGCATGCATGCATGCATGTATGTATGCATGCATGCATGCATGCATGCATGCATGCAGGACTGGGCGTGAATGTATGCATTCATGGATGTATGCATGCATGCCAATGGGTAGGTCGGTAGGTAGGTATGTAGGTATGTAGGTACCCCTGTCGGTATGTAGATAGGTAGGTCTGCATACATACATGCATGCAGTATGTATGCGTGTATGTATGCTTGCATGCATGCATGTATGCACGTACGTGTGTATGTGCGTACGCATGTATGTAGGTAAGTCGGTCGGTCGGTAGGTAGGTACGTAGCTAGGTATGCTTGTATGTATGCATGTATGTGTGCATGCCTGTTTGTATGTATGTTTGTATGTATGTCTGTACATGTATATACATGTATGCATGCACAACTGTGCGTTTATATGTATGCTTATGGATTTGCACGTACTACTCCACTGGGTACTTTGATACGTCGTCGTTCTGGAAACAGGCGGGCAGCAGTCCGATCGTGACCCTTGCTGGACGCAGCTTGGGGACAGACTCCTGCCGCTCGACCTAGCCTGCCGAGTGTAGGATCCAGCCCTCGGATCCACCCTGGAAGCGCTCCCTTAGACGGAGTTACCTCACGGGAGCCTCCTAACGTTCGGACGGGAGGAGGAACTAAAGTCCCGACGTTGCTGTCGGTAGTTCATCGCTTCGTTGGGCTGGCGGGCAAGAGGGTGTGGCGTCGGCGCCCGTGTTCCCTGGCTGCTGGCTGCTAGAGAGCCCCATGCAGCTGTGGCGGCTCCAGGCTACGTGAGCTGCCGGTGTTCTCGGGCGCCGGCCTGAGGCTGTATGGGCCTACTGCATGTGAATTCATGCAGGCACTCTGGGCGCCCTCCTCGGACGTGGGCCGCGCGCTTCGCGCGCGACCGGTTTGAAAGTTCTGCGTCGAGCACTGACCTGGCACAACCCCGCGTCCAGCAGGGGAGCCTGATTCTGGAGCGCCCCAGAATGGCCCAAGACGACCCCAGATGGCCCCAAGACGGCCCCGGAGGGCCCCAGGATGCTTCAGGAGAGCTCGACGAGCGCCCCCAGGAGGCCACGATGGGCCCAAGATGGCTCAAGATGGGCCCACGATGGCCACTCCACGGCCCAACTGTTTCTCCAGATGGCCCATGGGGGCCTGAAGACTATTCCAAGAGGCCCCCAGGAGGAACAACTTATGGGTTCTCGTTCGATCTCGGTGCAATCTTCGTATATTCGGCTTCGTGGTCTCGAGTCCGCCCGAGACGGCCGAAAAGGCCCCCGAGATCGTCCCAAGATGGCCCAAGGGGGCCCCAAGACGGGCCCAGGACGGTCCAGCGGGGCCCATGACGGCCCCGATACGCTCCAAGAGGGAGGGCCCAGACGCCTCGAAACGGCCCAAAGGGCTCGAAAACATTTCAACTGGGCCCCAGACCGCCACAGAACAACCCCCCGAAGCCCCCAAGATTGCCCTGAGGGACCAAGACGGCCAGAGGGCCCTAGACGGTCGTAGGAGAGGAGACCCCGAAGAGGGCCCACTCGTGACCCTGCATTTAGTACGGCGTTTTTTGTGTTCTTGTTTTTTTTTTTTGTGAGACAAAACGCGGAGCACCCCGCAATTGCGGATGAGTGAGGGGGCGGCGGGGATGTCTGCAGTCTGTGAGGCTCTGAAGTAGCCCTCCGCAGGCGCTGATTTTTGTAAAATTACACCACGGGCCCGCCGCAGGCGCCGATTTTTCGTTAAAGCACTGTGGGTGGATCGCGGGGTGGGTCGCGGGCCAGGTCGCGGGTAGGTCGCGGGTGGGTCGCGGCTGGGTCGCGGGCCGGGTCGCGGGGGGGTCGCGGGGTGGTCGCGGCTGGGTCGGGAGTGGGTCGCGGGCGGGTCGCGGGCGGGTCGCGGGCGGGTTGCGGGCGGGTCGCGGGTGGGTCTCGGGTGGGTCCCGGGTGGGTCGCCGGGTGGGTCGCGGGTGAGTCGCTGGTGGGTCGCGTGCGGGTCGCGGATGGTTCGCGGGCCGGGTCGCAGGGGAGGACGACGCCAAACAAAACCAACGACATTAACAACAGCAGTAAGCAACAAACAACACACACTGAACAACAAACAATAACACCAATACCATCAACAACAACATTAACAACAACATCAACAGCAACACCACCACCAACAACAACAACAAAACGACAACAACACCAACACCAACAGCAACACCAACAGCACAACCAACAAAAACAACCACAACAACACCATCAACACCACCATCACCACCACCACCGACGACACCAACAAGAACAACAACAACAACAACAACAACAACAACAACAACAACAACAACACTCATTCCAAGACTGTTCGCTCCTACCGGCCCGCGTGTCATTCACTATGCATATCCCAAACCCTGGGTAGGGTAGGTGAGGAGCCAGCGGGGGCCGCGGGCTTTGTTGCTGCAGCACGACATGCTGCATTCAGCATTCATGGCGAGCGTCGGGGGAGCGGCAGAGGCCTCACTGGGCGCGTCTGGGGCAGGAGCCGTTGTTGTTGTAGCCGGGGGCCCAGGGGCACAGTTTGGCCCAGAGTACTTCCCCTGCCAAAGAAACGGGGTGCGAGCGTCGACGGGCGCACTATGATTGAGAAATTGGCAGCGCGGTGGGGCCTCTGCGGGCGCATTCGGGGCCTCTGTGGGCTGCGTCTGGGGCCTCAGTGGGCAGCGTGGTGGGGCCTCTGTGGGCGCGTTCGGGGCCTCTGTGGGCTGCGTCTGGGGCCTCAGTGTGCAACGCGGTGGGGCCTCTGTGGGCAGTGTTGTGGGGCCTCAATGTGCGCGTTCGGGGCCTCTGTGGGCTGCGTCAGGGGCTTCAGTGGGCTGCGGGGCGGGACCTGTGTGGGCCCATTCGGGGCCTCTGTGGGCTGGGTTTCGGGCTTCAGTGGGCCACGTGGAGGGGCCTTCGTGGGCGCGTTGTGGGCTGCGCCTTGGGCCTCAGTGGGCAGCGCGGCGGGGCCTCCGTTCCGAGCACAGTATATGACTACCACCACCAAGATCGATAATAATCTACGATGCGATTTGGTGCAGTGTTGCTCTGGTGACAAGCCCGCAGTCCCCCTCCCGCCGGCAACGGCAACCGGGCTGCCCCCCACCCCCCTCTCTCTTAAGGACCGAAACATAATTCATCAAAGCACGCGCGGTGGTGGTGTATAAAAATTCGGTTCCCAAGAGGAGTGAATTTCATACACTTTCATACACCATCACCCAAAAGTGCTGTTTCTGCTCCAGGAACTCCCCATGCCACGGCGCCTGCGAGCTGCGCCGCGGTCCTTTCGCCGTGGCGTCGCAGCGTCGTCTGGCATGACCCTGCCCTACCCCTTTTCGCGGCAAATTAGTGTTACGGGCAGTGGTGGTGTACTGGTGAGGGGGGTCCGGTACAACTACACCAGCAACAATCATGTTACTACATATAAAAAACAAAACAAACAAAACAAGTATTTATTATATATATGTATATATGTATATATATATATACATATATATATATATATATATATATATATATGAAAAATACACGATGCATGCGACCATCATTGTAACCATCCGCATCATGGGGGACTATTGCTTTATAGCGGGGTCCGTTATTCCAATGTTCAGAGCTCTCGCCCACAGGTCTTGCAAACACCTTCTCCGAGTAATTATATCAACACATCCCGTCACGACAACGCATGCCCGCGCCTTGCTGGGCCGATGCGAGACATCCAGCGGAACCCCAGCCGAAGGTAAAGCACAAGGAAGTATCGAGCGACAGGATTGCCTTGGTGGGGAGGGGGGATGTCGGCGGCGGGGTAAGGACCTGGCCCTGAATAGAAAGGGGGGAAGTCTCGAGCAGGGCCGCTGTTGTTGCTGGGGGCGGCGCCAATGCTGAAAAACGAAGGGCGCTAATCCAGCGTAAAAAGAAACGACGTCTCGAGCGGGAGCGCTGGTTTGTTGGGGCGGCGGTTGTCGGCGGCGAAAAGGAACACCGCTTTGAATAAGAAGGGAGGAATTCTCGAGCGGGAGCCGTGGTTTTGTCGGCGAGGGACAGCACCGTCCTCAGGACAAAAAGGAGAACGCCTCGAGCGGGAGCGTTGTTCTTGCTGGGAGCGGCGCCAATTCAAAGAGAGTAGGGTGCCAACTCAGCGTAGAACGGCAGGGAGTCTCGGGCGGGAACGCTGGTTTGGTCGGGGCGGCGGTTTTTGGCGGCGAGGAGGAGCACAGCCTTCAGTAAAAAAGGGAGGGAGTCTACAGCGGATGCGCTGTTGTTGCTGGGGGCGGCGCCGATGAGAGAAAAAGTGGCGCGCCAGTCCAAGGTAAAACGGAAGGATGTCTCGAGCGTGAGCGTTGGTTTGGTTGGGGCGGCGGTTGTCAGCGGCGGGCAGGAGCACCGGCCCTGAGTAAAAAAGGAAGAAGTTTCGAGCGGGAGCGTTATTGCTGCTGCTGCTGCTGCTGTTGTTGTCGCTGCTGCTGAATGTTAAGTATTCAACACTTGTGATTGTTGGACCACTTAGAGGCGCCCTGGCGCCCTCGCCGAGGCGCCGGCTACATTTGTATTGAAAATGAAGCTCGCGCTCAAGCGGTTTGGGGGACCGCCAAAACCGGCACCCCAACGACAACAGCGCTCCCAGTCGAGACGTCTTCCTTTTTCACTCATGGCTGGTGTTCTTGCTCGCCGCCGAAAGCCGCCGTCCAAACAAAACCAGCGCTCCCGCTCGTGACTTTCTCCAGTTTTACCTTGGACTGGCGCGCTAGTCTTTCTCTCATCGGCGCTGCCCCCAGCAACAACAACGCTCCTGCTCGCGACTTCCTCCCTTTTTTACTCAAGGCGGTGCTCGTCCTCGCCGCCGGAAGCCGCCGCCCCGACAAAACCAGCGCTCCCGCCAGAGACATCCTTCCGTTTTACGCTGGACTGGCGCACAACTTTTTTTTGACTTGGCGCCGCTCCCAGCAAGAACAACGCTCCCGCTCGAGATTTCCTCGCTGGTGCTGTTCCTCGCCGCCGACAACCCCCGTCCAGACAAAACCATGGCTCCCGCTCGATGGTTCCTCTTTTCTTACTCAAAGCGGTGTTCCTCCTCGCCGCCGAAAGCCGCCGTCCCAACAAAACCGGCGTTCCCGCTCGAGACTTCGTTTTGTTTTAAACTGGACTAGCGCCCTATATACGTTTTTCAGCATTGGCGCCGCTCCCAGCAACAACAGCGGCCCTGCTCGAGACTTCCTTCCTTTCTATTCAGGGCTGGGTCCTTGCCTCACCGCCGACAGCTCTCCTCCCCACCAAGGCAATCCTGTCGTTCTAAACTTTCTTGTGCTTTACCCTTCGCTGCGGTTCCACTGGCGGTCTCGCATCGGCCCAGCAAGGCGCGGGCATGTGTTTTCGAGGCGGGATATGTTGCAATTCCTCGGAGGAGGTGTTTGCAAGACCTCAGTGGGCGGGAGATCAACGTTCCTCGCTATAGAACAGAACTCCCCCATGATGTGGATGGTTATCATGATGGTAGCATGTTTCGTGTGGAAGCATCGCGCATGAGGGAAACATTATCATTGTTTTTGTTGTTGTTGAGCTCTCACTTCTGAACAATAATTATTGTTAATCCTCCCTCACCGATGCAAACTGTTTTTTTCTAAATCAAAGTGTGGCCCTCGACGCTCGTACTCTGTTTCATGACAGGGAACATATTCCTGATCAACCTGTGCCCGTGGCCCCCCGGGCTATAACAACAACGGGTCCCGCTTGAGACTTCCTCCAAATTTACTCAGGACCCCCGCTCCTGAGACTTCTTCCCAATTTAGTCAGGATCGGTGCTCCCGCCTGAGACTTCCTCCAAGTTTACTCAGGACCCCCGCGCCCGCCTGAGACTTCCTTACACTTTACTCAGGAACGGCGCTTCCGCTTGAGACTTCTTCGCAATCGAATCAAGACTTCTTCGCAATCTAATCAAGACCCCCGCTCCCGCCGGAGAACCCTTCACATTTTATTAAGGAATTTCGCTTTCGCCTGTGACGTCCATGCAATGTATTCCGAAATCGCGTTTTCGACGCTCAGGAAACACGCTGCGCCAAGGACGCCGTCACAATTCAGTTAGTAATCGCGCTCTCGCCATACTCGGGCATCCCGCTTGAATGTCCCACCCGCCCGACCCGCCCGTCCTGGGATCGCCCGCCCGTCGTGAGCTCCCGGTCGAGACTTCCTTCAGGAACGGTGTTTTCGCCTAGGACTTCCTCGAACGTTTACGCTCTTACTTTGCTGCTCCTTCTCCCTCTCCCTCCTCCCTCCTCCCTCCTCTCCTCCCATCTCTCTCCCTTCTCTCTTCCCGCATCCTTATGCCTCTCTGCCCAATCCCCTCTCCCTCCTCTCCCTCCTCCCTTCTCCCTCCCCTCTCCTGCCTCCTCCCTCCCTCTTTCTCTCTCTCTCTCTCTTTCTCTCTCTCTCTCTCTCCCCTCTCTCTCTCTTTCTCTACCTCTCTTATGTGTCTTTCACGCTCTCTCTCTCTCTCGGCCTCTGATCAACCGCCCCCCTCTTCGCTCCTTCCCTCCTGGCGTTTTTCCTCTTCCTCCGTCCCTCCCCATCCCTTCCTCCCACCTTCCCTCGTTCTCCCCCTCCTCGTTTTTGCAGGGCCCACGCCAATTCCAATGGCAGGATCATGTACGCCCACGAAGGATTGTCCGCCCGTTCAAGTTTGCCTGCCTGTCTAAGCCTGCCGCTCCCCGCAAAGAGAAATCATCCCTCCAAAGGGGGTGTGATCGAAGACGAAAAAGGCGGGTATCGAGGGTGTGGGGAACTCGTTTTGAATGACACCCGGGCAAGTAAGAGCGAACAGTCTTTTAATGTTTGTCGTTGTTGTTGTTGTTGTTGCTGTTGCTGCTGTTGGGGGGCCCGTTGTGGCGCCCCCCCAAACCGCTCGAGCATGAGCCTTCTACTCCCGGCACCGCTCCGTTGGGATGCTCTGGGAAGCCTCTTGGAGCGCCTGGGGGAAAATGTAGCCGGCGCTGAGGCGAGAGCGACAAACGCCTGGGGGGATCCAACAATAATGCGTCGCCGCTCCGAAAGTTCCTTGGATTTTCTGAGTTGGGCCCGATGGCATCGTGTGTTCGCCGACGGTGCACCCCTCATGGCAACGGCCCCGACGGGGTTGAGGTGCAGGTACGTTGAACCCCCCTTCCCCCGTAGAAGCCTGGCAAGATAGCCAACCCTCTTGCGTGGTTTCGGCGGGATCCTTGACGAGTAGTTCCCCATTTTTTAAACTATATAGGTTTAGTCCAGCCAGCCATACATCCCACCCATTAAAAATAGTGTCCGGATCAATCCCGCGGTGGGACGCCATCCCGCCAATGTCTGTCGTGTTTGGGTCGCTTTGATTTCATTTTGGAATCATCCGCAAGTCATGTTCAGATCGTTGTGTTGTGCTCTGGGAATGCTCTGGCCACCTCGGGGTCGCTCTTGGGCCACCGCGCCTGGTCTCCAGGGCATCGTACACATTTTGGGCCATCTTGCATCCGCCCTCAGGCCATTTCGACGCCGCGTCTGGATCCTGCAGGGGCCACATGATCTTCTTGGGGTCGCCCCGAGGTCCTCTTCGTGCCCGTCCGAGGCCGTCGTGGAACCGTCTTTGGGCCGTGGGGCCGCCCAAGCATAGGCATCCTGTCTGGGTCGACTGGAGGTCTCCCGTGTTTGCCAGGAAACTGTCCGTGTTCCCGTCGCGCCCAAGTAGGGGCGCGACGGGACAGTCCAGGCCCCCCGAAGAAACACCACAGCACATGCGCACCCGACACCACGACGCGACAATGTAAGTGTAGTCGGCCATGTCGTCGTAGCCTGGCCCGGCCCGCCTGTCTTGCCCCTTCATTTTTCTTGCAGGAAGCACCTTGCAAGATAGTGAAGAAGATGAGGCATGTTGGAGGGGGAATGCTGCGACGACCGCGCCGACGACGCGATGACGAGGAGGAGTAAGAGGAGGATGACGACGACGAGGAGGAGGAGGAGGAGGAGGGCGAGGAACAGGAGACCATGCGGTAGGGGGACGCCGTGTCGTAGCAGATCCATATATTTGCATACGCGATCAGCCGTAGCAGATCTTTATAGGGATCTGCTATCCGAGCTGTCTCTGGCTATTCCTAAGCATTCCGAGAGGGCATCCGCGCGAAACGTGACCATACCTGGGGGGGGAGCGCGGGGCCAGTAACGACCGCTATACATGATCTTCAGCTCTTATTATCCTTTCCATGGCCATTTGTGTTCAATGTTCTCGAGGTGAGTTTTCGTCTTCCCGCGTCGCAACTGAACATTCATTTTTACACTTCTTGGCCATCGTCGACTCAGCAATGGTACGCTGTCTGATTTGTTCGGCGACATCGGTGCTTGCTTACACAGTGGGCGCCGACGTGCAGCTCATGCAGATGTCAGTGCATGGGCCGGACGGGTCAGAGGCGGCAACGCTACGGACTGAAGCTTTCACGGACCCAGGGCCTCAACGTAATTCTGATCATTCTAGAGCCTGCAGAGCGGGAGTCACTGTTGGTTTCCAAGGGGGAATTATCATGCAAACTTCGCAACAATTGCAGGGGGGGGGAGGCAACGGAGCTCAATTGTCACATCCGGCTGGCCGCGCACGGCCTGCAGCTGCGCCGAAAGGAAGAAAGGAGGAGGAGGAGGGGACGGACGACGAGGAGGTGGCAACGGAACTCTCGATTCATTCGAGGACTCTTGGTTTTTGTGTTTCGTTGGATTTGCAGTGGGCCCGTTCAGTTTTGTTCCGCAGGCAGCTCGCTGAACGGCGTGCTGTCTTTCAGGAGGGGAAACAACACACGCACCATCAATCGTCGACTCCCCAGGAAATATGGGAACATATGGGAAGTGGGGGGAAGAGAAAAACCAAGAAAACATGAGAGCAAATAGGGAATCCAGTTTTCTGTGTCAATTTATCTGTGTGTCCCAGGGCCCCTGCAGTCTTAGTAGGACAACGTGTCCTGGTCGAGGCACGGGCGAGCAGGGAGCCTCGAGAGAATTCGGTGGCCCGGTCTGTGTCGCCCGAGGCGTCCTCACATCTCCCGCTGCTGAGTTGGCCAGGGTCGGGCGTTTCGCCTGCGACGCACTCGCAGTTCGGATCCTCCTCCTCCTCCTCCTCCTCCTTCTCCTCCTCCTCCTCCCCCTCCCCCATCCCCCTTCTCCTCCTCCTCCTCCTCCTTCTCCTCCTCGTCCTCGCCCTCTTCCTCCTCCTCCTCCTCCTCCTCCTCCTCTTCCTCCTTTTCCTACTCCTCCTCCTCTTCTTCCTTTTCCGCGCGCAAGGTGGTCCAGGGCGTTTCGCCTGAGGCGTGCCGCGCGCGATGTGGTTCCAGCGCGTCTCGCCAAGGAGGACTCCCTGCAATTCTGAGCTTTGAGACGCCGCGCGAGAGGCGGTCCTGTCCGTGTCGCCTGAGACACTCTTGCGTCTCTGAGCTCCGAGCTGCCGCGCGAGAGGTGGTCTGGCGCGTTCCAGCTGAAACATACTCGCATTTCTGCGCTCCGAGCTGCCGCGCCAGAGGTGGTCTGGCGCGTTTCGCTTGAGACTTCCTCGCGCCCCTGATCTCCGAGATGCCGCGCGAGAGGTGGGTCGGCGCGTTTTGCCTGACATATCCTTGCAACTCTGGGCTCCGAGCTGCCGCGCGCGAAGTGTTCTGGCGCGTTTCGCCAGAGACATCCTCTCGAGTCTAAGTTTCGAGATGCCGCACGCGAGGTGCCCCAGCCCGATTCGTTTGAAACATCCTTGCGTCTCTGAGCTCCGAGTTGCCGCGCGCAAGGCGGTCCTGCGCGCCTGGGCAATCCTCACAGCTGTTGGCTCCGAGATGCCATGCGCGAGTTGGTCTGGCGCGTTTCGCCTGAGACGTCCTCGCGAGTCTAAGCTTCGAGATGCCGCGCGCGAGGTGCCCTTTCCCGTGTCGCTCGAGAACATCTTGCAACTCTGGGTTCCGAGATGCTGTGTGAGAGGTGGTCTGGCTCGTTTCGCATGACACATCCTCACGCTTCTAAGCTCCGAGATGCTGCGCCACAGGTGGTCTGGCCCATTTCGCTTGAGACATCCTCGCATCTCTGAGCTCCGAGATGCCAGGTGAGAGGTGGATCGGCGCGTTTCGCCTGAGCCATCCTCTCAACTTTGGGCTCCGAGCTGCTGTGCGAGAGGTGGTCTGGGGCGTTTCGCCTGAGACATCCTTGCAACTCGGGGCTCCGAGATGCCGCGCGAGAGGTGGCCTGGCGCGGTTCGCATTAGACGTCTTCACGTTTTTTGGGTTCCGAGATGCTGCGCGCAAGGTGGTCCAGCCCGTTTCGCCTGAGACATCCTCCCAACTCTGGGATCCGAGCTGCCGCGCGCGACGCGAGGTGGTCTGGTGCGTTTCGCCTGAGACATTGTCGAGACATTCTCGCTCTTGTGGACTCCGTAATGCCGCGCCAAAAGGTAGTGTGGCCCCTTTCGCTCGAGACATCCTCGAAACTCTGACTGCCGAGATGCCGCGCGCGAGGTGTTTCGGTCGGTTTCGCTTGATACACCCTCGCAATTACGAGCTCCAACAGGGAGGAGGAAGGACGGAGGAGATAGGAGGGGTCGGACCCAGGCGAAGCATTTTATTATACTTTATTGTCGAATTGTGTTCCGTGAGGATCCTGGGCGCCGCCTGATACATCCTCGAGCCCGTTTCTTTATTGCTTTGGGCATGACGGGCGTCATGGCCCCCGCCCCCCCCCCTATGACGTAACGCTCCCTCCCCAAGTGCGTTCCGGACACTGCCGCCGTGCGCATCGTGATCCGCATGGGTGTCCGCATAGGAATTCGAATGGGAGTCTGGTCCGCAGTCGTCGTTGTCGTCGTCGTCGTCGTCGTCGTCGTCGTCGCCGTCGCCGTCGTCGTCGTCGTCGTCGTCGTCGTCGTCGTTGTCGTTCGTCGACAGGCGCTGTGCTGCACATGGCTGCTGCGGTATACACATTCGCTGTGGTGTACACCGGCGCTGTGGTGCACGCAAGCACTGTGGTGTATACAGGCGCTGCGTTGCACACGGCTCTTGCGATGTACGCAGGCGCTGTGGTGTACACAAGCGCTGTGATGCACGCGAGCATTGTGGTGTACACAGGCGCTGTGGGGCAGCTCGCCACCTATATGCTGCTCGCGTCGTCGTCGTCGTCGTCGTCGTCGTCGTCGCTCGTCGCTCGTCGCTCATCGTCGTCGTGCGCGCGGGCGCGCCTGTGGTGCCGGGGCCGCACGGCGGGGGGTGGCGTTACGTCATACCCCTCCCCCTCACCCCTCCCCCATGGCGCCCTTCATCGCCGATGATAAAGACACGCGCTCCTCGCAACTCGTGGCCCATTTCGCCAGAGACATCCTCGCATCTGTGGGCTCCGAGATGCCGCTCGAGAAGTGGTCCAGCCTCTTGGCTCATCCCTCCACCCGCCTCCCTCCCCCTGCCTCCCACCTGCCTCCTCCCTCCTCTCGCCTCCGCATGCTGTGCCTCTGACTCCACTTCCACGCCGTCGTCTCCGTCATTTCGGCGCGCACCGCCTTCCACCCTCCACAGAATCCGGCGCCACGATTTTTGTTTTGACATGCGGCCCTGCGGACCTCTCGACCTCGGCCAAAGGATTATATTTTCTTTGTAGATCATGTTTTCCCGAACAGCTTGCTGGACGGGATGCTATTGTGGTCGTTACTACTTCAGGTCTAGGGGCGGGCGAGCAGATACAGCCAATAGAACATTTGGTGTTCCAAGCCGTTTCGCCTGAGACACCCTCAGAACCCTCGATTGAGTTGGACGGGATTTGTCGTTTCGCCTGAGACATGATCGTAGTTCTACGCTCAGAGACGCCGCACGCGAGGTGGCCCGGCGCGTTTCGCTTGAGACATCCTCGCAACTCTGAGCTCCAAGATGCCGCGCACACTTTGGCCTGGCCCGTTTCGCATGAGACGTCCTGCCGACTCTGAGCTGCGAGATGCAGCTCGTGAGGTGGTCCTGCCCGTTTCACTTGAGCCATCCTCGCATCTCTGAGTTCCGAGATGCCGCGCGCGAGGTGGTCAAGTTCGTTTCGCCTGAGACATGTCAAGAACCCGTTGATCCGAGATGCCGCGCGCGAGGTGGTCTGGCCCGTTTCGCATAATACATCCTCGCAATTCGGAGCTTGGAAAAACCGCGCGCGAGGTGGTCGGGCCCGCTTCGCCTGAGCAATTCTGTGTTCCGAGATACCGGTCGCCCTGGCTTTTTCTCTTTATTTGTCTGGGACAGTTGCCGGATAATTCAGTTTTGTACCCAAGCAACTTGTGGTGCTGGTTTCTTCTTTGGAAGAGACAGCGCCCAACGTTCCCGCCTCCTGCCTCCCTCCTCCCCCTCCTCCTGCTCTTCCTTCTCTTCCTCCTCCTTTTCCTCCTCCTCCTCCTCCTAAACGACGGCTCTGCAGGGCTGACCACACTCCCTTACTGAACCCCAATTTAGCCCTAACTGCTACCTCCTTCGGCGCTCGCCCAGTCGAGGCAGCGTGTTTCTCTTGGTTTTTCACGTGCATGAGTTGTAGGCCCACAGGGACAAGTGCGGCCTCGGCCATCCGAGCGATGTCTGCGGCGCTGGAAAAGACCAAACACACATTAAGTATCCTCCAGTTGAGTCCTATGTACGCCAGTACCTCCGATCGATTGCAGGACATCGCCGACCTATCGCATACCACATATTTACTTGTCATAATGCTACTGGAATGCAGCTGTCTGGCCCACTTGGAGTTGCTACATGGCGCAGAGCGGGCAAGAAATGGTGCATTGACGCTGGTTGGGCAAGATCTCCACACAGCACTAAGTCGCGTGGTTGTGCCATCCTGTCCGGCCCGCACATCAAAAGGAGTTCCGTGGTGCAGACATGTGTTGCAAGGGCTCCTGGACGAGGGGTGGCATTGCGAGCGCGTTTCAAACACTATGACGCAACAGCGATTTTAGTCGATGTCCCACCCTTGCCTTCGAAGGCGGGGCAGCTCAAGGCTTACTATCAGACTTGCTGATTAGCTTACCAACTGGATGTGATCATTACCTTTCTGGAGTGTACACATATGTTTTCTCATCGTGCGGACGGACCTTAATTCTGGATTTGGGCTTACCCGACTAGAAGGTTCAGAGTTATGGCGGCCCACTGACAGCATATCTATTGGCCTTCACCACGACATGGTTCGCCATAGAAACTCGGCGGAGGTTTTACCTCCATTCTTGGATCTACTTGACCTGGTGGTGCTCCACACCTTGCGAGGCTACGGGTCCACCTGATTCAACATTAAAGGCCAGGGCATCCAGCTCGACTACATAATCCTTCGGTGCGCGTTTTCTCAGATTCTTACGACATGGCCTTTGAGACGCATGGGAACGTTCTTTGCGGACGACCGCGGCCCGTGCACCCAGATATCACGTGCCAGTACATGCCCGCGTCGCCTACTCCTTCTCCGACACGGTCTGGTTACCGACAACAGTTGTTGACCATCCACGGTTGGATTTCGTCTTGACCTTGTGCAAGTGGAACCGTGGTGCTCTCATGGACGGACTACACAGAGGTACCCACCGGTGTCGAGTTTCTACTCAATTTCGAGCAACGCATCTCAGAGGACATCGACGAGTGGAAGCAGTTTCAGCAAGAGGAGCAGACCCCGAATCTTGACTGGCTGTATGTACTACGAGTTGTTGGCGAGGCGGCCGCTCAGCATTGCGCCGCCCCGCCTTCCTCGTCATCCGAATGTCAAAAACGAGCTGCGCACGTCAGCTGCCTCATCTGACGACGACGTCAGCTTCGCGAAGCTCTTGGGGCTGCAGCTCGCACCAATGAAGTGGCCATCATTACTCATGAACTTCATTCACTCTCCAAAGATATACGACCGACTCGACGGCGCTACCTCTATCTGTTGCGCCAGGACATCGCTGGCGAGTTGGTGGCGGCCCACTTGCGGGACCGCAGCGCTGAGGTTGCGCGATTATCTAGGTGGCCAGGCATGGGGGCTTCACTTCAACCCCGAAGCTTCTTCAAATTATGATTTAATTGACTTTAGTGCGGTTTAGTGGCCGCTGGCGCATGAAAGATGGACCCGCGCGCTTGGCTCAGGCGCCTATCTGCGACTTGCCAACGCGGCCTTGAGCGGCGGTTTGGCGGGCGATCCGCGTCTTGCACTCCCCCCCCGCCCCCCCCTCGCTACCTCTTCCAGTTCCGTTGTCTTTCGCTGGTTGTTTCCGCGCGATGGGCGCGCGGCGTTATCCCATCGGCGCGCGCCCTTCTCTGCGGCGGGCGCTAGCCTTTCCTCACCTGTGCGCCCCCTTCCCCTTTCCTCATGTTTTGTTTCCCCTCTCTCTCTCTCTCGCTCTCTCTTTCTCTCTCTCTCTCTCTCTCTCTCTTCTCTCTCTTTCTCTCTCTCTCTCTCTCTTTTTGTTGGTTATCTCTGTCTTTTTTTTTTTTTTTTCTCTCTCTCTCTCTCTCTGTCTCTCTTTTTTGTTCTCTCTCTTTCTATATGTATATGTATACATATATATATATATATATATATATCTCTTTTTCTTTATCTCTCTCTCTCTCTCTCCCTCCCTCTCTATATGTGTTGCTCCTTTATGTTTCTTCGTGGCAGCGCGCGCGGGGGTGGGCGCGCGTGGCGTCGGAGCGGCGCCCGCGCGCCCCCCCCCCCCTTCCCTCCTGGGAATCGACAGCGGCGGCGAGGGGGGCGAGAAGAGGGGGGGAAGAAAAAGTGGATGCGGGGTCGAGCTCGCCTGCTTCCTTCATCTTTCCTCGCTCATTGGAGCTTTGGCGTCCGTGGCGCCCCCTGGCTTCCTCGCGTCGCCTTGTCGATGCGCAGGGGAGAAACAGGCGCCGTCGCCCGTTATCCCCTTTCTCGGTTTCCTGCGGGGCCGCGGCCCCCACCGCCGGATTCGCTTCGAAATCCTAATCAGAACGCGCCCCGGGACAGGTCTGGGGAGCAGCGGCATCGGCATTTGTTGGTTTCCCTAGTCGCGCTCGCGCAGGGCGCCAGAAGTGCGCGGCGCGAGTGCAGGGCGCAGCGCGCGCGCAGGGCATCGGCGATGCGCGCGCCTTGGCGGGGCCTTCGAAGATCCGACGCTTTCCCCGATCCGCCCGAAGTTCCGGTTAATTGGTTTGCTTCCGTAGTTTGGATCTTCTTTTTGCGATTTCTCACCACCCACCAAACCACCCCAACCCAACCCGAAGGCTCACATTTACCCTCGATTTCCAGTGGGGGGGGTGTCGAGAAACACCGAAAAAACACGTGTGGAACCCTTACCCCCCCCAACCCGAAATTCGGGTCTTCGGGTTGGGTTGGGGTGGTCTGGTAGGTAGTCAATTTCGGGCGGTTGATATTTTACATGTCGGTTCTCCTGCGGGTCAGGTGTCCGTTTCGAGCAAGCCCTGTTTCGACGGCCCGGGGGTCCGAAAGCAGCCTCCGGCGCCGGGAAAAAAACATGCCACCTGCAGGGCCGTTATTTTCAAATCCCCGGGGTATGGTCGGGGGAGCGTAAGACCCGGGTTTGCCAGGACTCGGGTTCACCATCGTTTTTTGACGAGCGCGCCTCGGATTTTGACGAGGAGGAGTTTCGTGGGATGTTTGCAGCGGGAGGCCTCGTCAAAATGCAGGCTCGGCCTCGTCATTTTTTTGACGACCTCGTCGGGAATTTCCGAGTCCCCTGTACCCAGGTCTTACGTCCCCTTGATATGGGGAAAGGGGCCTCGCGCTCCATGTCGACATTTGCCTGGGGCCCCATCGCTCTTCGAGGGCGAGCGGGGGGGGGGCGTGGGGGCGGGGGGGGGGTGCTGGCTCAGGGCGTCCGGCGGCGTTCGGCGTGCTCTTTGCTACCGACGGCTGGCGCCGCTTTGTTTATCTGCTCGCCAACGCGGGGGGGGGAATGGAGGGCGGGGGTGGGGGGCAGGGCAACGCGCCCGAAGCAGCGCATGGGGCGCCGCCCACACAGGGCTCCGCGCCTGCCTGTTGCGGCGGGGGGGTAAGGGCGCAGAGGGGGGGGGGGAGATTCGGTCTATTTACAACCAGAACAACAAGTTTACAACCAAATGGGTTACTTTACAACCAACATAGGGTTGGAAAGTATGGTTTTTCATAGAGAACGTCCACTTTGCAACCAGAACGGCCCACTTTACAACCAGAACGGACCACTTTACAACCAGAGCGGGCCACTTTACAACCAGAACGGACCACTTTACAACCAGCTCAGAGTGGCCGTGCGTGTTTGGGCGTTCCGCAAAGTGTTCCAGAGCAAGTGGGCGCTCTGAAAAATGCCCCAGAGCAAGTGGGCGCTCTGAAAAATGCCCCAGAGCAAGTGGGCGCTCTCAAAAGTGCTCCAGGGCGCGCGGACGCTCTGAAAAGTGTTCCAGAGCACGTGGGCGTTCTGGAGCCCGAGCGCCTAAACTCTTTGCGCAGGCCCCATCGATGCCTCTGAGCCCGAGCGCCTGAACGCCCTGCGCAGGCCCCAGCGATGCCTCTGAACCCGAGGACCTGGGCGCTCTGCGCAGGCCCCAGCGATGCCTCGGAGCCCGAGGACCTGGACGCTCTGCGCAGGCCCCAGCGATGCCTCTGAACCCGAGCGCCTGGACGCTCTGAGCAGGCCCCAGCGACGCCTCTGAGCCCGAGCGCCTGGACGCTCTGGCGCTCTGAGCCCACTAGACTAAGACAGGGCTTGCTAGCAGGGGCCAGGCGGCCTCAACAAGGGCCCCGTGCTCGCACGGGAATAAGGCGACAGCATACGTAGGAAGGCTCAGGGCGACGCGCTGCCCATTTTAGGGACCACTCACAGGAAGCGAGCCCAGTGGCCTCCACAAGGGCCCAGCGCTCCAGGGAACTAGGCCATTGGCACCGCGGGCCTCTTGCGCCACGTTGGCCCCTGAAGCCCCACGGTGTTCTGCAAGGGGCTCAGTGCTCCAGCTCCAGTTGCCCCCCTGCTTCTCCTCTTCTTGGAAGATCGAGGTTCAACGTTCCGAATAAATGCAACTATTTCGAAGATCGTTCCTTCCAGCGTCAGCCACAGCGCCAGCGTAGTAACGCAGGTATCCTGCTCGGGCAGCAGCCTCAGCCACCGTGCCAGCGCAGCAGCTTGAGCCACCGTGACAGCGCATCACCGCCACCTTTGTGCCTGCTACCACCAAGCTTACCGCTGCAGCCCCGCTACCTCCACAATTCCGACTGACCCCCCGCTACCACCGCAAATCCCATTGCAGCCCAGCTACCACCACAGTTCCAACCGCTGCCAGGCGACCACCACAGTTGCCACCGCAGCTTCCCAACGCCATGCAGTTCCCATTGTAGCCCCCGCTACCACCACATCTCCCACTACAGCTTCCCACTGCCATGCAGCTCCAGTCTTGGACGGGATCGCGGTCTATTCGTATGCCCTGCGCGACTAGCCTTCGCCCGTCAGAAAAAAAAGGCAGAGCAAGCAATGGCAGAACTGACCGACAGAGCTTAGAGAGCAGGTCAAAACCCTAATCCGCCCACCAGCACGCAACATGCCATAGCGCGCCAGGGCGCCGCGTCGCCGACGCGCGCGCAGTGCTTCTTCGTGCGCGATGGGCAACTTTACAACCGACATGACTCAGAGAGCCCAAAGCCACCCTTGCGCTTGCCCACGGAGATTCCAGGGAAAGGCCCGCGTGCATTCAAGATGTGTTTTTTACTTGCCTGGTTGTAAAGTGCCCTTCCTGGTTGCAAAGTGCTCTTCTCGGATTTTGCAAGCTGGTTGTAAAGTGACCCATCTGGTTGCAAAGTGCGCTTCTGGTTGTAAAGTGACCCGCGCGCGGGGGGGGGGGGGGGGGGGGGGGGCGAATCGCGAGCCTTCGGTCGGTCGGCGAGCCGAGGGGCTCGAGTGGCAACCTGCCGCGGTCCGGGGGGGCGCCCCGCCCGGGCTTGCAGCGCGCTTGCTGCGGCAGCGTGGGCGCGCGACCATTCTGCCGGCGCGGGAGAGACCGCCTGCGTTTCCAGGCGATGGAGATACGCGGGTCGACGTGGGGGCGTGGAGGGCGGGGGTATCGCGCAGGCTGCGCTCCTGTCGTCGATGCGCCGCGCGCTGGGCCTGCCGCGCAATGGGCCATCAACGACGTCGCGGCCCGCCATTCCGCGCCGTTGGCGTCCAGGGCCGATCGGGGCCTTGCATTTTTCTTGCCCGTCCTGCATGCCGCGCGAAATTTATCGGAGGTGTTTTGCGGCGCCCCCGACCCCCCGGGGCCCGCGCATGAATTCCTCGCCCCGCGGACTTGGGCGCTGCGGCGGGCCGCCAGACGCGGCCGGCACCTCGGGGCGCCAGCCTGGGCAGGATGGCACGCTTTGGGGGCGCGCAGATTCGCCCGGAACATCGCCGAGGAGGGCCTCGCGCAGGCCGCGCGGGATTCCGTCGGCGACTGGCCGCCCGAGGCCGCCTGCGTCAGTTCGCGCGCGCGAGGGCGGCGCTTTATGCAGCGCCCCCCAGCTTTCGCTGCGAGCGCAACCAGCGCCCCCTCCCCCATCCTGACTACGCAATTCCTTCCATTGAATTCGACTCCTTCCATGAATCTCATTATGTCTATTAAATCTCATTGAATCTCATTGGACCTGACTAGATCTCATTAGATCTTGCTCAATATCATTAAATCGCACTAAACCTTGAGAACATCTAATGAATTCCAGTTACGTCTCACTAAATGTTTGTCAATGTCATCAAATTTCATCCAGTTCCAGTACATATTACAACATCTCATTACCATTCAATCCCACAAAAATTTACACATATTATGGAAGCTCACTGGATCTCACCGGATCATGGCATTTTCATAAATCAAATTGAATCCCATGGGATCCAAGTAGACCCCGCCAGGACGGTTGTAAGAGGAGTGCAAGCAAGAAGGGCTTAGTCTGGGTGGGGTCCTCTGGGGCCTGGTGGGGTTCAGTGGAATTTAGTGACATCTAATGACATTTTCATAATGGAATTTAATGGAATTTAGTGGAATTCAG